TAACTTAATTGATTTATAAAATGGATATAATAAGATATCAGGCAGATGTTTTGTTATTTGGAAGTAGGTAGCTAATTACCTATTTACTAAATGTATTGTAATGCACGCCGTGTGTCGGTTGACTTTGAGAATACCGTCCCATTTCGTACCGTATGAGTCAACAGCAGGATATGGATAAAAATACACAGGGCTGATAGTTGCTGTAGTTGCCACGCTTGGCAAGCGGGTTGACAACCGCAGTTTATTGTTTTTATTATTAGGAAGAGCTGCCGCCCATCTCCTGGTTTGTTTCCCGCTGTCGTTTCTAACACACCCACGGGATGATAATGGATAGTGAATATTCTTACACTGCCAATACACGGGTTATACAATATATAGATATATTTTTAATTAATAGAATCAGGCGTTACTTTGCGGAAATACATTATATTAAAGTTGGTAAAAATTACCTTGCGTATATCCGCAAGGTAATTTTTACCAAATTTAGAAGAGCATCTCCCGCCCTCCCTCAATTTTGTGCACTATCCCCGTCACCACTAATCCCAGCACCACTACTCCCAACACCACTACAAACTAGGTAAGACACATCATTTTATTTTATCGAGCGGATGTACGAAAGGTAATTTTTACCAACTTTAAAACAAATGCTTGTCGGAAAAATACCAACCCTTTGAATGGATTAAAGAATATCACAATTTCAATGTCTTCTAAATAGCCACATTAATAACTTTATCCAAAAACAAAAACACAATCGAATTGTAATCGTTCTCATTTTTTGTAGTCAGAAAAAACAGCTACAGCGGCGACAAGGAACGTGCATAGGCTTTTGTGTTGTTTAATATATAGGACTTAATCACTTAGTATCAAACCTGGAGTAAAGAAACAACAAGAATTCATAGGAAAAAAAATCGGTTGTCTGTAAAGTCAGTTTACTGACGATAGTTGAACGTGACAACGTCATAAGAAAATGATGCTATAAACAATTGACACCACATTCACTTTTCACTGCAATTCATACTTGACGAAAACATGTAAATGTATTATTGTATAGCAGCTGTCCATGCGGACGCATTGCTCACTCAAGTGGTAGAGAGACAGATGTCGAACGCTGCCGAACGCGAAGGCCGATTGTGCCTCTTTGTCGCTCGTTCCGCGCTCTCGCTTGCACTTCAAGCATTAACTGGAACGCCTCAGAGTGAGGTAACGCCGCATGAGTCATGTTTTTTCGTGCGTGCAGCCAGCTTTATCGAACTAGAAGACGTTGTCACGTCAAAAAATTATAGCGTAGTAATTTCTGTCAATAAAAACGAGATAGAATTTTAATAAAAGCTCTCTCGGAGGATGAATACGTCTAGTATTCTTGACGCTGCTTCTGTTGCCGGTCTGGATATTTTAGTTTATTTACTCATTTGAGATAATATTATTAAAATTGTAAAGAAAATTCGTTGTATACATATAAATATCGAAGACACGGAAGACTAGAGAATAGGGCATAAATTGATTTACCTTGCCAACTCACACGAACTATGCATACAAATTATATTTTCCTATTTTAAAACACATTTATTTAAAAAAATCTCCAAGTTTTCGGTATAAAATATAGCTCATTCTTGTTTTAACAGAGCATTGTCTATATAAAGCAGTAGAACCATGCTGTAGCTATATGAATAGTATATAGCTATATATATTGTAGCACGAATAGGTCAGTTTGACCGGGGTGCAACCGAGCTTAATGCTTCTGCACTTCGTATGGTGAGTGTAGAGAACCGGAGACCCATTTTTACTGGAAATAAATCATTCCATCTTAGTCCTCACGGCTGACAATGCATCTTCGTTTTGATTCGAAAACGAGGATAAGTGTAGATATCTATGGGCCACAGCAACCAATTACCATTAGGTGGACTGTGTGCTCGTTTGTCGCCCTTATGCTATAAAAAATTTAAAAAACACTCACGGTCACATATCGCCACAGTCAAAGCCATTAAACACAGTATGCCATTGCATTACCAAGCCCTCTACTTAAATAATTACTTATCCTCTCGTAAATTGCTAAAGATTTAATTATATAAAAATACCTAATTAGTTTGCTATACCGTGCGTGCGTGCATTTGTATGAGGTTTACAGACAAAGTCTTTATTGAAGTATTGCCTGTTAGGGCAGAGCTCACAATATTTATAAAAAATGTGTGTGAAGAACACAACAACCACACGTACTCCAATTAAGGACTGCTAAATCTTCATAGCACTTCCTTTAATAAACTCCTGTGTTTAATTCTTCCCGGTCATGGTGATGTCCTCCAACCTGCATGGGGGATGAGCGGTGAACTATATACTGCCAGCGTTTAACTCGAGGAATAATAGGAGGCCTGTGTCCACAATTGGGATGTATGTATGCTTTTACTTAACTTGAAGTTCCTGCTGCATCTAGGGTGAAATAGGTGTGATAGATTAGATTAGATCAGTAAAGTCATTCAGTTTATTGATATTATCTGAAATACTATGATATGAAGTTAATACTAAGTCAAATCATAACATAGCAGGTTTAAGAAACCATCAACGAATATAAAAACATCATTATGCTCAGTACAAAACGAGCTGCATACACAGCTAACGCGAACTCTGCCAAGTTGAATCCGTAATTCTCACCGACGTTTATAAGTTAAAGACGGAATATTCAGAGTTTCTTATTTTAAAGACCATTTTTAATGTTGGAGCGTTCTTTTATAGCCACTAAGCAAAAATACGGAGGCTACAATTCAACTACACTACAAGTTTTGAAAGAACTACAAAGAATTATTTCTTAATACTTTTTCAAACATTTTTGCTGCTAGTAATATTTTCCACTGTATAGTGGATGGGTTTTATGTACGTACATTGTACAAAGACAAAATATCCAAATCCGGAACATTTCTTTGTAAGTCACAAATATTTATTTCGTGCGGGATACGTAGAGCCGCAGACGAACGCTTCACACTGTGCCAACGAATCGTAACTGAACTAACTGTAGCTTGACTTGAACGTTATTGAGTCGAAAAGTTTGAAGTTCAAGAAATTCTTGCTCTACCAATATTATTTGAAGAAAAGAATGTGTATATTAAAATTTGTAAGATGGAGTTGTTGTTTAGATCGTGCTGGCACCGTAACGGAATTCCTGCGACGAAGTATTTTGAATTAGACTTTCCTGCCTTCTACTCTTATTAAAATCTATTCTTTCTTATCTATATCTACTCGTACTTAATTATTAACATTAATTTATTAAATAGCCTCGAAATTAAACACGCGTGTTTAAAATGCTGCGAAAATGCTAGGATATAAAATAACGTCACTATTTCAAAAGCGAACATGTCGATCGTTATAATTTTATCGTCAGTGGTGTTTGTTTTTTAATAAGTTATTATTTTATCCTCAGACTCTTTAATTTTAGTATGGATACAATTTTTCATACTGGTCACGATTGGCAGATGTTTGGCGGTCGCAGTACCAGACGCCTCGCACCGTTGACGCTCTGGTCGCTGTATTATTTTCGCATATTTCTGTAGGGTAATAGAGGTTATTATAACGCAATCTATCGGTTTCCAGTGGAGCGTTTACTGAGCTTAATCATTTTATTTACGTTTTTTTTTACTCTGATTTAATTGAATTTATTAAATATACTATCATTTATCTTCTAAGAAATAAATTATTTATTCTAACAAGAAAAAAAGAAAAATGACACAGCATCGTACCTGTTACGGATCGCCGTAACGCCGTTCGAAAAATAAATGAAACGCGCTGGTCTTGCTTAAACAGGAGGTAAGCGGCGGTGAGGAGGAACTTGTACCTTTTCTTTTCTTGCTGTGTCTTCTTTTCCGGTGGCTGGAGAGCGACTGCCGACCGTACCGGCCGGCCCGTCTTTTATATGATTTGGCCGTTGCTGGCCAGCGGACCCTTGCCTCACCCCCGCGCCTTTCTTTATTGGGTTATATTTCTTACGAACTAACAAACAGAATTAAATATATAATACTCTTATAACTAATTATTATACTAATATGTACACAACAATTTTTCTACATATTAAAAGGTTTAAGCTTTATTTTTCAACAACTTTAGGCTGAGGACCCTCCCCCCCGCCTCAGCACTATAAATATAAAACGTCGTGGCGCGGCGCGCGTAGGCTCATTTGCTCCGCGACCGCGTCACGATAACATGCCCTGTTGATTATTTTACGTGCCTAAGGGCTTAATATACAAGAAAGGTAAGTTAGATATAAGAACAAATACAATTTACATTAACTAATTACAATAATTACTTTACAATTTTACATTAATTAATTACTACATTTTAAATCTATGCTAACTCTCGCTATTCATTCGGTGTCTTTATTGGGAGAGTTATTGCATATTTACAATACTATTCTATTTAAAATACAAAGTTATATTTGTTTAACATTCTGAATAAGGCTGCGTTTGTTTTTCCGCGTTGCTGTGTGCAACCATCGCTAGTTGTCGAACCGTGAGCGCGGCCCAACGATCGTAACACCCTCATGGCTCCGCCCACCGCCCCTAGGTTGTTCAACTAGCGTCGGTTACGACAAGCATGTATTTCGTTCGATGTATCACGTTGTTTGCGTCGTGCACAGTACCTGTAATCAGGCAGATCCCAAAGAGCAGCAAGCTACTCAGGCCATGTATAGCCAGAAATGTGGACTTAGAAAGAAATTTGTGAAAGAAGTGATAGGTGGCTAGCCCATTACCTACTCGATCGACATGCTAGGCAAGTTACACAGCTTACACATTCTTCTTTGAAACAGAAACAGAAACTTTTTTATTCAATATAGATTATAAATAATACTTATTGAAAGTCACTCTTTTGTTTGATTACCACTGGTTCGGAAAAAACCTCTGTCCTGGGAAGAAACAGCAATAAACCCAGCGGGACTTTTTTTTAAATAACAGATTACAATCATGATGTTACACTAATTAACAACACAACAAATTAGAAATAGCTTGGTAGCGATCACCTCATTTCAAGGGGTTATTATCATCCATAAATTCCTTAATATTATAATAACCCTTTTTATACAAACTTAGTTTAATAAAGTTTTTGAACTTTGAACTAGTCAAACTTTGTATATTTTCTGGAATTTTGTTTTAAAAGCGTATATATCGCCCCAAGAACGAATTACTGACTCGATGGAGTCGAGTAACTGGTACTACTAGCTTGTGTCTGTTCCTAGTATTTACAGAATGGATATCACTTATTTTTGTAAAACTACTTTTATTTTTGTGTACGTACATTATATTTTCATAAATGTATTGAGAGGCCAAACTTAATATATTAATTTCCTAAAATTTTTGTCGCAGCGACTCTTTAGGCTTTAAATCATAAATTGCTCTTATGGCCCTCTTCTGCAAAACAAATATAATTTCAGTGTCAGCTGCGTGTCCCCATAGCAAAATACCATACGATATTATGCTATGGAAGTAGCTGAAGTAAACTAGTCTAGCTGTTTCAACACTGGTTATACTTCTAATCTTTTTTACAGCATATGCTGCAGAACTAAGTCTGCTTGCTAGTTTTGACATATGGGGGCTCCATTGAAGCTTCGCGTATAGTGTGATTCCAAGAAAAATGGTGGTATCTACAAGACTCAGTTTCTCCCCATTTAAAATTACATTAGTATTTAATTGTTTGACATTTCGAGTCACGAATTTCATACATTTTGTTTTAGTGCCATTTAAATGCAAATTATTAACATCGAACCAATTTACTAATTTAGATATAGCATTATTTACTTCGTCATATTTTAGTAACTGTCGACTTAATTTGAAAATTAAAGAAGTGTCATCTGCAAATAATACTATATCATGGCTATCCCCTACTATGTAAGGTAAGTCATTATTGTATACAAGAAACAGAAAGGGGCCGAGAATTGAGCCTTGAGGCACGCCCATTTGTACCATCGATCTGGAAGAGCTCATATTGTTAATGACAACTTTTTGCGTTCTCTTACTTAAATATGAAATAATTAATTTAAGGGCATCACTTCTTACACCGTAGTGTTGAAGTTTCCTGATTAATGTTTCATGGTGAACACAATCGAAGGCCTTGGATAGGTAACAAAATATACCCAAAGCATCCTGTGAATTCTCCCATGCATTAAAGATATATTTAATCAGCTCAACACCGGCATCAGTTGTCGAGCGACCCCTTGTGAAACCAAATTGATTTTTATGAAGTAAATTATTTATATTACAAAAATTTAACATTTGATCAAGAACAATTTTTTCAAAAATCTTACTAAATGTTGGCAGTACAGAAATAGTTCTAAAATTGGCGGGGTCTAATGTACTACCAGATTTAAATAAAGGTGTAACTTTACTATGCTTCATTAAATCAGGAAACACACCAGATTCGATACTAGTATTAAAAATAATAGCTAAATGAGGCGCGATGTATCTATTTTAGACGCAATAACTTTAACGGAAATCCCCCACAGATCCACAGTTTTCTTAACATCAATAGTTTTAAAATATTTTACAATATCTTTTGATGATACTTTATGAAATGCAAAATTCTTTGAACACGCATTTACATTTTGTTTAAGTAATGATTCGGCGACCGCAGGCGAAAAATTCAGTGACTTACTGGTTAATATCGGAATATCAGTAAAATATTTCTCGAAAACCATTGCAACATCCTGATCTGATTCGGTTAATTTGTTGTTAACACTTAACTGGTAGTTTGAATTGCGAGAGTTGATCTTACCAGTTTCGCTATTAATTATACTCCATGTCATTTTAATTTTATTGGAAGCCGTCTTAATTTTGTTGCTCAAATGCAAAGACTTGGCTATGGAGCACACTCACTCTTTTATATATTTTTGAATATTTTTTTACATATTCCCTAAATTCGACGCTATGATTATATGACCTTTCATGGTAAAGATCATATAACCTATGCCTGCTCTTATGAACTCCTACTGTCGCCCATTCATTGAATGACTTCCGACTGTTCAAGGAGAATGTTTAAGAAGTAAAAGTATTATTAAATTCATTGCAAATAAGCTTAAATAATGTTCCATACAAAAAATTAGGATCATTTTGGTATGAAAGTGATGGAAGTTTTTTCACTATGTTACTTCTAAATTTCTCCAAGCGACGTGCATTTACTGCAACAGACACAACTTTCTCATCTACTTGCTTTTTGTGAACATAAGGTAACGAAACTACTTGTCCACAGTGATCAGAACTTAATTTTTGAATTATACATTTATGCAACGGCTTCACATTTGTAAAAATGTTATCTATACATGTTGCACTAGATTGAGAAATACTAGTTGGCTCTATAAATAAATTATAAAGACCATATGATTTAAACAATGATCTAAATTTAATATTGATGGAGGAAGCTTCTAGGAGATTGATATTAAAGTCTCCACATATTACAACAGATTTATTCTGTTTATTAAGCTTAGCAAAAACTTCCTCCATAATTTTTTCAAAAGTATCAAATGTACAACATGGGGGTCTGTAGACGCTCACAACAATGAGGTGTTCAAACTCAACACATGCCATTTCTATAGTTCGCTCAACAGAGAGGCTCACAATGTCTTTACGTTCTTTACATGATAATAATTTACTAGCTAATATTAAGGAGCCACCTCTTAAAACCGTATTTCTATTGAAAGAACTGACCACCTGGTGATTACTGAAGTTAAAAATTAAATTATAAGCTTTTAACCAATGTTCAGTAATACATAAGATATGAATATTGTTGCTATTTAAGAACAACTCAATTTCTAGCTCTTTGCCTATCATGCCTTGTATATTTTGATGCACCAGGTGTAAACAATTTTCATTATCTTCTTGTGGAGTCATACAATTAAAGATTTGTAAGCCACATTCTAAATTATTTAAGTTATTATAACTGCTAGAGATTACCTCTATTGTCTCATTTTCTAATTTAAATTACTTGGAACAGATTCCAAATTGCATATTAAGTCATTACACTGCTCAAAAGAAGCAGATGTCTGTGTAGCCAAGTCCTTGGCTGAGTTAATATATAAATAATAAGATAGAACATTTGCTATCTGTCTTAAAATATATTTAGATAGGTAATACCTATCTCTATTCAAAAATTTCTTAATTAAATTATTTATATCTATTAAATTAATTCTATCATTATAATTGTAACAATTAAATGTCAAGTTTAAATTATTATTACATGAAAAGTTATTCATTAATAAATTTAAATCATATCTTATTTTATTTTCTTGCGGCCAACCCTGTATGTAAGGCAATGTAAACAAGATAATTTTATGTACATTTGAAGTATTTAGATTATCAATATATTTTAATAAATGATTTTTGTTTACATTGCCACTTCTCCCAACAAGAATTATTAATGTGCTATTAGGACAAAATTTACTAGCTAAAACTTTATTCATTATATGACTAAAGACTGCTCCAGGCATGCAATAATTAGTTTGTTAAATATAACTTTTAGTTTATTCAATTATAAAAAATAATAAGTTTTAATTTAAGTACAACATTTCTAGAGCCATGCTGCAGCTATATTAGTAGTATAGTTGTAACACAAATGGGTCGGCTCGACCGGGGAAGGACCACGCTCTCACAGAAAACCAAAGTAAAATAGCAGCTTAACGCTGCTGTGTTTCTTATGGTGAGTGTAGAGAACCGGAGAGCCCTTTTACTGGCAAAGAGGCATTCCATCTTAGTCCTCACGGGTGACAACGCATCTGCATCTTGATTCTTCATTGACGATAGATGTATATGTCTATGGGTCACAGAAACCACTTACCACCAGGTGGACTGTTTGTTCGTTTGTCATCTTATCCTATAAAAAAAAAACTTTTGGCACCACTTTTACACAACTACACAATACATTCGTATAGGAACTTATTCGAAACTTTCATTGATTGTTATACATTATTCACAAAATAATGGTTATACCGCTAATCGCCGGAACCTCACCTGCCACTCAACACGCTCTCCCAAGTGTGGGTGAGGTTGGCATACGGACAAATAGTTGTTACACTCTCCTTGATTTGAATTGTCCTATGGCCTTTTATTATATTTCATTTCTCCATCCAGCGGTTATTTGTAATTAAACTTAAGTTGTCAAGGTACCAGGAATAATTAAATTGAGCACACAAGTTCTGATCGTGCCAGCAGTTTTCAAGTTTCGTTTATTTGGGTACCATTAGAGCTGAGTTATTTTGTTACGTTCTCACAAATATAAATTTTATTTCATTTTTTCATTCAACATTAATAATTTTTCCGAATATATAAAGAAACTGTGTAGTGGCGGTGTAAGAACTTTTTTTGCGCCCAAAGAAATTGGAAAAGGGCTACCCTTTATGTAGGGAGGCGGAAATGCATTACGCATACCACGACAGCCGGTCTATCATGGTTATGAGGGACTCACTGCCTACCGGGAGAACCTAAGTGATACCCTCTAAAACCACCTTTGGGAACTGGCAACCAGCTGTTTAAAGCTTCTTATGCCGTATCGGAAGCGACCTTCTTTTGGGAAAAGAGGGCACAGGCGGCTATTAGCCGCTGAGGGAGTGCCTACGAAGGCAAATTAATTATGAATAACATTATTTGGAGTGTTTTTGAGTCGGCGTCGTTTATAATCGAAGTGAACGGCGGAGCTCTTCTCCGGGTTCACATCGATGCGCCATTTTTTGAACCAAGCTCCTAGGTCATCAACTGACTTTTGGATCTTGTTCCGTATGAAAGGTAGCGAGATATCTTTACAGTATAGGGCAGTGTCATCTGCGAAGAGGGAGAGCTGAACACCTTTCGACGGGATGGGAATGTCGTTGGTGAACAAAATGTACAGGAGAGGAGCAAGTACTGAGCCCTGAGGGACACCAGCTTTGATGGGGCGCTGAGAAGATAGCGTGCCTTCGTGTCTAAAACGAAAGGTACGATGCTTTAGATAAGAGGCCACGAGACGTACTAGACGATCGGGGAGACCTATTTTGTATAATTTGTAGATAAGGCCTTCATGCCAGACTCTATCA